TAGGAGGCCAAGGCCCGGAAACGAAGGCGATGTCGCCGGGGGAGCGCGCGGAGGCGCTGAGCACAGCCGGCCCCAGGCGTTCGGTTCCCGGCGCCCTGCTCCTCGCCGCTCCCTGGGGCCCCGGGCCTCACCGAAATTGCACTGAGCGCTGCCTGCGAACAGGGGACTGGAGGCGATGGCAGCCAGGCGCCTGGGTGCGGGCCTGAGCCAGAAGGATCACAAGTTCGAGCCCGGCCTGCACAAGTTAGCGAGACCTTGTCTCAAAATTAAAAAGGGCCAGGCGTGGTGGTGCACGCCTGTAATCCCAGCGCTCAGGAGGCTGAGGCAGGAGGATCATATGAGTTCGAGGCCAGCCTGGTCTACACTCAAAAACACACAAAAGGGGCTGGGGATTTAGCTCAGCAGCACAGCGCCTGCCTGGCAAGCGCAAGGTCGTGAGTTCGATTCCCAGTACTGGAGAAAAACCAAACACACACACACACACACACACACACACACACACACACACACAAATAAATAAAATGAAATAAAAAGGGCTGGCAGTATAGCTCAGTGCAAAGGCTCTGGGTTCCATCCCGGGTCCCACAAGAGAGAGGGAAGGCAAAAGGAAAAGAAAGGAAACCAGGCCGTGGGAGAGCTTAGCGGGACTGGGGTGCAGAAGCCAGGGCTGAGGCAGTGAGCAGCTTTGGGGCTGGGGCCTGAGACCACAGGGACATCTGTGCCAGTTCAGAGTCAGACCTCGGGGGCGCTAGGGAGCCACAGAAGGCTCTATGAGGGGGAAGGATGCGAGATACTCAGGTCTTATCTCTGCCACGTCTCCCTGAGCTGCGCATGGTCCACCTCTGGGCCTCAGTTTCCCTATCTGTAGAACAGAAAGTGAGATCCAGGCGGGGCCTGGCAGCTCAGGTGTTCTGTGTCCTTCTTGGCCATGCTCGGCTTCCTGGGTTTGATGATTAACTCCTGAAGGTGAGATCCAGGCCTCCTGGCTGGGACCCGGGAGGAGGCCTCTGGCTGGCTGACCTCTGCCCTCACCACAACACACACCTGTCCCAAGACTGGGGACACAGAGGTGGTGAAAGCCAGCAGGCAGGGTGGCCCTGGCCAACAAAAAAGGGAGAGCAGGACACCGGATCTGGTGACAGCGTAACACCCTCCTCAGGAGGACACCTCGGGCACTGGGCAGGGCGGCATCCAGGAGGGCTTCCTGGAGGAGACAGAGCCTCACGCACAGCTCAGCCTTCGCCAGGAAGTCCGGCCACCCCTGCGTCTACTGCCCGCTGAGTCAGACCTCGGGGGCGCTAGGCTCACCTGTGTGCCTGGGGGCGGTGACAGCTGGGTGTTCCCTTCTGTGTGCACCAGAAAGTAGATCGAGTGCATATGAGTGGGGGCTACATGTGTGTGTACCTGACATCAGACTCACATCTCGCCACAGTACTGCTTAGGGAGCAGCTAAGGCAGGTGTGAAAGTTTGAAAAGTCCAGCGTTCCAGGAGCCTGAGGCAGGAGGATCACAAGTTTGAGCCCAACCTGAGCAGTTTAGCGATTTAGAGAGACCCTGTCTCAGGGACTGGGGATTTAGCTCAGCGGCACAGCACCTGCCTGGCAAGTGTGAGGTCATGAGTTCGATTCCCTGTACCAGAAAAAAAAAATAGAGAGACCCTCTCTCA